TTAAATTATGACGATTGGGATTGTGATAGGTGGGACAAGTTACATTTGAATACACAGAATTAAAAAAATACACTGTTTAAATGTAGATCCATCATTTGTAAGCAAACTTTTTAAAATTCTTCTCATAATTACAACATTTTAACACATAAAAAAGACTTTAAAAAAACAACATTTTTCCTGATGATTTTTAGTATCAGGAAATTCATGAAAAGTCTGTCTACACTGTAGTTTTAACTATATTTTCGAGCAAAACTTCTAAAATTTGATATATTTTGATATGACACACTATCTTCGAGGATGCGGCAGGATTTATCAAATTTATTAACGCATTTTACATGCGTGACTTTGATTTCATATCGTCATAGACAGTGTTTCAAGAAAAATAATAGGATTCCTCTATCAGTTCTTTAATTCGTTTTTTTAATGTTAAAATGTCTTAATAAGACAAAAATTATAAAATATTTGTTTACTAACAATGGATCTCATATTAAACAGTGTAATTTTATTGATTCTGAATATTCAATTGTAACTCGTCCCACCCGTCACAACTTAACATATTAATTTCCTTAAAATTGATCAGTTATTAATTAGGTGTATGTATAAAATAGAACTTTAACATTCAAGTCATCTCATATGAAAAACTTGCTAAACAAAATATTAATAGTTTGTCTTGATCTTGGCAATGAAGCCATCAACTCAAACAGGCGGGTGTCGTGAGTGTCCCACCCGTCATACTTACAAAATTAAAAGTTTTGAGTACAAATAACGTTGTAAATTTATGTAAATAAATAGTCGCGGTTGAATTGCATATTTGGCTTCATGATGTTTTCATTTCAAGTCTAATTAACCAATGGTTATGGAGAAATTACTTAATAAAAAGGAGTCAAATGTCCCACCCGTCACTTTGGAATGGCCATGTGGCTAATTTTGAAATCAAGCCATTCAATTATCAATACAAAGATCGAACACGAAGAAAAATTCCTTTGATCCGGCTGGATTAGTGTTATTTATCTTTGTATTTATAATTATAACTTTTTTTTGTTCTTTATTAGTCATTTCTATGAGAATTAAAATTAAATTGTTTTTGTTACAAGTCGCAAATTGCTCAACTATAATAAAATAATACATCAACATAAAAACCACCTTAACATGTAAGTAATATTCATTTAAATTTAATTCTTAGTTAATAGTAATTGACTGTAGTATTTGGCCTCCACAAAATTTTATGTTGTTAGATATGGGTTACATACAGAATAGCATTAAATAATGTTCAAGTACGTGAAACCGTTTCAAGGACAGTTTATATGTGTTTGTAGATAAGAATTGTAGGGTTACCACATGCTATATGATAAATTATTTACTATAGTGAACCAAAAAAAATCTGAAGGCGTTGTTTGCTTTATTCTGGATAGTGCGAAATATAGAAGTTTAAACCTTTTAATCTTAACCCAGTGGTTAGTAGAGGTTCCGAGTTCAATTTCCGGTAAGATAAATCTCATCATCATCAACCCATTCAAACGTCTCACTGCCGAGCACGGGTCTCCTCTCAGGCGAGAGTGTCTGCCACGTTGTACGAGGGTTGAGAGCCTTCATTTTTAAGTATGTATATATCATAGGAGTATTCATTTTTAAATTTAATTTTCATTTTAATTTAATAGAGATGTTTCTTTTGACCTTTGAACCATTGAAAAGAGAGACTTGTGTCAGAAAAAACTATTTTCAATATTATTTATGTACTTTCAAATTTGTTTATTATACATATAAAGTAAGCAAAGTTGAAATCCCTAAAAATATATATGTAAAAAATAATCGTGTTTTATTAACACTCCCATAGCCAATCGTAAAAAAATATTTCTTCATTGTGAGACTTCAATGATTGCTGTGTCACGGCTGTTTTTCGCAGACTCTAACATTACATCGAATTACAATTTGGCACAGTTGTACACCTTAGTTGCCCGCATCTATTGCAGATGAAAGAATTTCAGGTACAAACTCATCACGTGTCACCACGTTTAGCGACACGGAATTACATTAAACCAGCCAAAAAAGCTTTAGGACCTTGTGAAGCGAAAAGGACTTTGCGCGTTTCGTTTCCGCACGGACCGTCGAAGCAAAAAGTGCAACATATTTTTTCGCTTTTATTACATGGACATAAAGCTTTTTCTGGCCTGGACAAACCGGAAAATTTAAGCACTGTGCCTGAAGGAGCTGAAAAATATATTTTTTTGCCTACGATTAAAATTCACACTTATACCCATAAGTGTGAATTTTAATCGTAGGCAATGAATTAATATGTCAGTGTTATTACTTTCATGAACCCTGTAAATTAATGATATGATAAACGTCTTTTCAAATTTACTAAAACATCTATTGAAATTGCAATTTATGCCATCAATATAATACAAAACAGTTCACATATATTACGTCGTTCAGAATACGTTAGACAAATAAAACTAAGAGTCTATCGACTTTACCTCATCCCTTTTCAAACGTCCACAGGGATCATCCTAATTTGCGTTTAGTAAACCACCATTTTGTCGATATCGACATTGGTATTTAACCAATCTCGACAATTATAACATTTGTACTAAAAAAAACCGAAGTGAAAAGTGAGTGGAATTACATCAATTTGCAAAGTTTTATTGAAATTGGAAAGTGGGTGAAGCCAATAAACCAAATTCATCCCCTAATTTGTCACCGTTAGAGGTGAAATATTTCCTTCAAATTTGAAAGGGGGACCACTACTGGGGTACCCTCTTTCCAACAAAAAAAAGAATCATCAAAGTCAAAGTCAAGTTCACAATGTCGGAATAATCGCGTAACACACACAAAAAGAAAAACAAAAAAAATGCAGTCGAATTGAATATTGAATTTGGTTAAAAATTAATCAATTAGGTAGCACCAACCAGCTACCTCGTTGGTTATTTCCTTGACATAGACATTTTATTTCAAGAGATAATTAAATTTAAAAAACCTCTAATTAACTTGAAACAATAGGTACATTATACTTCTCTAGTCTCTACAATTATCTGCCCCACCCATTCATAGCATAGAGTAACTGATAAAATCTTTTAGTATTTTAAATAAAAGCCTGTGACTCACATCATACCACTATTTCCATAATCTATTTAACATACCTTTATTGTATTCAAAACATAGGGTGTCGAAAAAATAAACACTAAAGTTACCTAAATTACTTGAATATAAGGCCATTAATTGTACATAATTTCATGTACATTTATTTATGTTAAGTTTCTTGATGCGCTTAATTTTGTACAAAAAAAACTTTTTTTGTCTTTTTTAGTATTTTTTATTGACAGATAACAGGTCAACAACTTTAGATAAATTTAAATTACAAAGTTCAAGTTCATTTGAACTATCTCTCCCTCTCGTATCTATAGCAAAATGTAGTAGTAGTTCGTATATACTTTAAGGAACTGAATCACAAAAAAGAGCTGTAAATGGAAAGTTCAGATGTAAAGAATAACAGCACAACCCATGTTGAATTCCCTAGGCAGGGCTCAAACTTGGGAATTTATTGTACTATGAATACCAGAGTAACAGAATTCTCCCCAGGTACTACCTGGAGCACCTAAACCAGAACCAATTAAGAAAAGTTCATTTCCCAAATTGATTCTTCTGGGACCTTCTTCTCTTTTCATCTAACGCACTCAGCATTACAAACTGGTACACTGAGTCATCCAATCGACTTAAAATAAAAAATATAATTTATTGGTACTTAACATAACTATATATTTTAAGCTAAGTTTAGTAGCAGTAGAGCTCCTTGTGAAAGAGTTCATACAGGGAAGTGCTGCCATCTTACCTATTTCTGCCGCCAAGCAGTAATGTCAGCATTACTGTGTTCCTGTTTTGAAAGGCAAGGGTGCTGGTGAAATTATAGGCACATGAGACTTGTCAACTTATGTCTCAGTGACAGGTGCAGTGGCAGTGCCCCACAATTTTTTGCTATTTAAAGTGCTGAGTAACAATACACTGGGCGACAGGTGTATAGCTTACCATAAAGTGCACAACTTGCCCGTAGTGCATTGAGTATATAATCAGATATATACTCGATGCCGTCGTGTCACTTGATATTATATAAAAAAAGCTAAACTAGTGAGACTGAAAAGGTCTCAATTCAGTAATAGACAAAATAATAAAATTACAGAGACTATACGTAATTTTCACCATTTCAAACTTGTAATATTTAACACCCCTTAGTATTAGCTGCTATGGGCTATTTACATTAAAAACAGAAAATGACCATAATTTAAGTTGGTGTAGTTTTAATTGGAGATACTGAGATAATTCTATTAATTATTACAATACTTATCTTTTAAAACTTTCTTGAATAACAGGTTTTAGAGTAGATGTTATGCAGTTATTCTTTTGCCTGTTGCATACCAAATGCTTTTTTTTTATTAAGTATACTTTGTCATAATTAGAGACAGGAAACTGCTTACTTTTATAAACATTTAAATGTTATAGTTTTTTTACAAAAGCATGCTTTTTATACGCTTTTCACTTAAACGCTTTTTAGTTTGAAACTTAAAAAATTGTTTAAGCGCATACACGTTTAAGTTAAAAAAAGCTTGCAACGTTGTTGTGTTAATAGCGAAAAGCAAGAGTATACCACTAAAGGTTTTAAGTTAAGTAAGTTTATTTATAAGACAAGGGTTTTATTTTTATTTATAAAATTATTATTCACATTGACAAATTAATTTGTTTATGAAACATGAATGGCGGGACTTGACACTTAGGCATGTTGCAAAAAAATTAAATTTTTGAGTATTGAACTGAACAATGCTTACACTTAAAATAAAAAGCATGCTTTTGTGCTTATTTTAATAAGCAAACTTCTTTAAGTGCTTTTCATTTAAATGCTCACCTCTAGTCACAATTAATAATATTAATTGACTCAAGTTTCAAGTGCTTTCTAGTAAATTATAACACATGCATGTTGAAGTCCCCAAATCTTACGAAAAAGTATGACTTACCTGAAACCTAGTAGTAGAGGGCTGGTCCTTAAACCTAGAAGGCTTCTCCATATCTCTAAAACTGCTCTTAGTCACTTGATTCTTGACTTCCACATTGTTCTCCAGCAGTTTATCTCGTTCACCTGGATCCTTCCTCATCTGCAAACCAGCCTCTACATCGTCACTTCTTGGCGGCAAGTCTGTAGGATATTGTATGTTACCATTCGTAGCCGCCATCGATTTCGCGGAGCTAATCTTCCTAAATCTCCCAATAATAACATCTTCTTCATCATCCACAGCCACTTTTAATTTGTCAGTCCCCCCTGCAGGTGTTTTAATCGGGTTCGGATCCGTTTTCACCGGACTCAACTCAATATCTTTCTCAGGCGAGCTCATGGTTAACTTTTGAATAATCGATTGCTACCGCCAAACTTTGAATGATAAATTGTTGTATTTATATAGAGAAATACATAGTTTTAATAGTCAAAGCCTCCTGAAATACGGGAAGTAAGTTTTTTTGGTAACTCAAACTGGGATAACGAACCGTTCTGCGGTTCTTTCTCAAAAAAATAATTAACCTATATTGTCATTTCGGACTGTTAAACAAGTAGAAAACTATGTTAAAAATTAATTTAAAAATTTAGGTTTAAGTAGTAACGACAAAAATATTAAGTTTGTGTTATAAACCCATGAAAATAATAGAAACCACGCGGCCTGACGCGGAATAAACACAAAACACGTCCTCCACCATGTACAAGAATTTGACAACTGACTAGACATTATAAAAAAAACACTTATAATTGACTCGATTCCCTTAATTCACGCTTCTCTCGATTCGAACCGAAAGATCGAAAGTCAACTCGATTAAAAAAAACAATAATATAGAATAAAAAAGTATTTTGTTTTAATATTTCAGAAATTTTAACATATTTATGGAGTGCATAATTTACACGCAATGAAATTTGCTTTTGAAGCCTATTAACGAAATCGTAGCTGAACAGACATCGTGGTGTGTAAAGAGACCTGTCCTCCTTATTTGGTACCACCTACCTGCCCTGCCTCCCGTCTTCTTACCCCTCAAACACAGATTCGCGACGCGACGTATTGGCGCCGCGCCGGTAGCGATGTACTCGCCCAGTTTTTTGTTATACCTAATTTAAATGTATTTATACATTCTTTGGTAATTCTTGTTTAGCTGTAAAATTTATTACGTTGCAAATTATTAACCGAAGAACCGTAGATTCCCGAACCTGAAATATTAGCCCAATATTAGTGTTTTTTGCAAAAATACTTAAGCAATAGCGCCTAAAAATGGGTTTTGATGAAGGACACTTTGCATTTGATAGTCCGAATCTCACGTATTATACGGGGCAAATAGTGTACGGCAAACTAGTGTTCAATCAGGATAAACTTAAGACTTTTCGAGGTAAGTTATTGTAGCAAATCTTTTATAGGATATTGTAACCATTGCCAACTACCCTCAAAGAAATCTTATACAAAAAAGTCTTAGTAATATAACATAGTATATTATGACAAATAGTGCCACTCCCGCCTATCCGATTCCGGTGGTTCTGGCTCAAAGAGTATTATTATTACTGTCTGCCTACACGTCACTTGGAGTGTATAGTTGATAAGGGTTGTCACGTTTTATTATTTTAATTGTACCTGTAGTAGGGCTAGCATGATAGGGTGCGACAGTGTTGCCAGATTAAATGTGAAAAGGTCGGAAGATATTATCTTGATAATTAAATTTAATATAATATAAAAATAATATAATTTAAAAAATATTTTTTTTTATTACCCCTGGCGTATTTGAAATCTCAATGTTGCGTTTGACACTTAACATTCCAATGAAATTGCTAACCGTCAGTTTTGAGTTAGGGATTATATGGCGGGTGTATTATAGTCAACCCTAAATTACTGACATGACCCAAAATGTGATAATTTATGGGCAGTGGGTTAAAACCCAAACAACCTGCCCGGGCCTTTACCCAAAGCGCCAAGTTTTCACTAGATTTCTGCCCAAAATCGTGGGCGGTAACGGCAGCAATTTCTCTTTTTCAAAATCAATTTCGATTAAATAAAATCTTTTTAGACGAATAAAGAGGCAACTCGTAATATCCTTATATCATTGATAAAAACTCAATTAGTAACTAATATTTAGTTGTAAATAGTTTTTACCCTCGAATTCGTGCGTTAATGGGTTTTAACTAGATTTAAACCAAAGCGGGTTAAACCTGGGCGCTTATTCATCTCTGCTTATAATCCTTTTTTGTATTGTAGATTGATCTTTTGATGTTATCTTCCATACAAATCGTTACGTTTTATTAATAACATGCACCTTTAATACCAATAATAATTAATAAATATAATTGAGTAAAATATTTCACAGCATACTAACACACTGGTGTGTAAAAACAATAAGTTCGGAAATAACTAAAGTTAGAAAAAATATTTAAATTAGTAATAGTGCTTTAGAACTAGTAGAAATGAGAAACGCATAAACAAACCTCATGCAAATGCTATATTGGTTAATCACCTTCTGATTTATTATAGATTCTCGTTAATCATCAGTAGAACACTTAGACATCGGCCTAAAACAGTATAGCTACTGATAAATCAGTGGACCTGGCAACACTGGGGCGCGACTTGCGCGAAAGCGACATAAACATTTCACACGACAACAACATAAATATTTATTATTTCACGATTTATTACTTCAATACTTAATAATAATAATTGCCACCAAAATTAGGGAGAGAAAATTAACCTGAAAATTACCCAGATATCGTTGGTGTATATTTATGTGGTCTGTGGTGTATCCGTACACGGCGTACGGCGCGGGAGTGTACACATACAAGCCGTAAGAGTTACACTGCTTGTCTTAATAAACTTACTATTTATTTATAGGTATTATATCATTTGACTAGAATTAATAGTTTTATTGCTTCAATCAATCACAGGAGCGTGCTGATGAATCTGAAATTCGTTTTTCAATATATTAATTAACCAGAGATATTAAAGTTTGAAATCATTAGCACTTTGTGTATGTAGCTTTGTGATTATGATGTTACAAACAAGTGTTCACGTTATTCTTGATTTCGGAATGTCTGTGACTATTTTAGGGTAGAAATTTAGAATAGCTGACGTCAAAATAGGCCTGTGAAGTTTGGAACTTAGGACGTTAATAGTTTTTGGGATATTAGTAACTCGACGTCAGCTACTCTAAAGTTGAGCTCTAGAGTAGAGTTGAGTAGGTGGTTTTTACACACATGTTAATAACTGTCACGTCTTTTCAGGTTTATACGTAAAAGTAAAAGGCTACTGCGACGTCCACTGGACAAGTCAACACTCGCGCAGAGTTAATGAGCGTACTGAACACTATACTAAGCACCACAATTCTCATGAAACTTACTTTGAAAATAAGATCTTCTTGATGGGTGGTACGGATGGTAAGTAGTTACGTGGAAATATATTTGTATATTTACTAGAGCAATAACGAATTACTGCATAATAATGAACAAAATGAACGAACTTTGAGCATTACGCATATAATATACGAGAGGCGGCTGAAAAGTTTTGAGCCTAGGGAATTAAAATGCCAATAGAAATGTGTAAAAAAATATTTTCTATATAACCTCTCTCTACTTCAATGCATTTCTTTCATTTGCCATAAATGGTCTTTCAACCCAGTGAAAATATATTCGCCGTCTTTGCCTTCGAAATGCTCGTCTACAACCGCTTTCATTTCTTCATCACTCGAAAATCTTCGCCCTCAGAGGTCTTTTTTCAAATTGGAGAACAGGAAATAGTCGCTGGGGGCTAGGTCTGGACTGTAGGGTGGGTGGTTGATTTCTTCAAATCCTGTCTCCGCCACAGCACGCCTTGCAACACGGGCAGTGTGCACGGGCGCATTGTCCTGCACAAACAAGACGCTTTTCCCCAGTTTGCCTATCCTTTTCTCGACAACCACTTGACGCGCTTTCAACAATACTGCATAATAATCCACGTTCATTTTAGTATTTATAGGCAAATAGTCGATGAACAGAATGCCTTCACAATCCCAGAAAACAGTGGCCATGAGCTTGGATGCCAATCTTTCCACTTTGAATTGGCGTGGCGACTTTTCTTCCTTTTCTATCCACTGCATTGACTCCTGTTTTGACTCTGGATCATACGACAGGTCCGCGTTTCATCAACAGTGACAATGCGAGAAAAAACGTCGGCGTCAGGATTATCGCCACAGATGTCTAAAAATTCCTACCGAATACCGAATTCCTACCGAATGTCGAAGGGCGTGAGCATTTTCGGCACCCAGCCCGCGCAAACCTTTTTCATGTGCAAATGATTATGCAAAATGTCGCCGATTCATTCCTTGCTAATGCTTATGACTTCAGCTTTCTGTCACAACTTGATTCGCCGATCTTCTAAAACAATTTTTTTTACTTTTTGAATATTTTCGTCGGTAACCTGACCTGGGATCCTCTTCCAGCGACTCTCTGTCGTGCTTGAATTCTCGACTCCAACGTTCTATGGTGGTAAATGACGGGCCGGACTCTAAATCTTAATATTTCTGTCGGCGTTTTATTCTCTGTGAGGAATTTTATGACAGCTCTGTACTCCAATTTCGTACAATTCGCGGGTGACTCAGACATGGTGATGATTACGTTTCAATTACTAAAAGCGTAATGACATGAAATTCGGTATATGTACTACTTAGGATATTCGCAATTAGTGACATGCACCGCGAGTCATTAGCGACACTTAAGGGTCTATCCACATAATCGGGGCCGTGCCCGGGACGTAGACAGGCCATGTTTCGTCAGGGGCTCAAAAAAATATCGTTGCGTATATTTTGTATGAACTCGTTCACACAAGTCCGTGTCCGGGCCGTCTCGTCATCGTAATGTAACTAAGGATGATTTTTGTTCTCTTACATTCAATTCCTGTAACGATTTCTTGAAAAATATGAAAAAGGCAACGTCATTTAACGCCTTTGGCGAGACAGATTGTTTTATTGCTTTAAAAGAGTTTAGTAATTTTTGTTAGATAATGAAACTGGTTTCATGAGAATAAATCTTAATCTTATTATATGCTTTTGTGCGAACTCATTGGGATGTATGTCTATAGTTGCAAACTGCAAATAAGTTTGGACAGCGTGAAGGCAATATGTACAGGGTGTAATGAAAAGGGCCAGGGTATATCTATACATATACTGATTACCGCTACAAGCTATCTGGCACCATTTTCTGCTGCATCCAAAATCTTTGTAATCCAAACTTGCACAGTATTAACATCAACGTTACTACTTATTGGTGTGAATAACCTTTTATATAGGGATATCAAGATGGTATTGACCAAGTATTGAGTGTTCACGTCATTTCGTGAAAATGACTTTGGGAATATTACGTGATGATTGTGTCGGAACAGTGATGCAAGATTGAGTGCTCAAAAACCCAAGACACTGAAATCGAGAAAGCCGTTTTGGACCTTTTAGACGAATCCCAGATCTAGCACTCTTGTTACTTTCACTGCAACTAGACTGACGCCGAATGGCAAGGAGTATGCAATCACCAATGAGCCACGATCGTTCCACTTAGGTACAAATATGTCAAAGCATGTCTAACGTTGCGTATTGATTGACAACTTATTCTTACTCCAAAAGAAATGTGTAAGAATACTTGCTAATTTAGACTCACAAACCTCTTGTAAGTCGTTCATTATTACACACAAGATTTTGATATTAACCTCAGTATACATTCTTGAATGTAGTAAATTTATAAAGAAATACAATCATCTTTTCTCACCTGTAAAGACTCTGAAACGTAACAATAGAGGTCTGCACATATTGAAGCGTCCTTTCAGTATTCTAGGTATATACCATTCAGTGCCCCTCTGTATGGTAATTAAAATATACAATGCGATCCCAATAAATATAAAAACACAAGATACACATAAGGCCTTTGTGGGTTACAAAGGCCTTATGTGTATCTTGTGTTTTTATATTTATTGGGCTCGCATTCTCTATAGAGCTATCTGCAAAGCTTTTTATTCATTAAAAGAATACATTTTAGAAAATAGTGCTTAAAAATAATTTACCAAGTATATAATTTGTAAAAGTATGTCAAATAGCCAGACATAAGTGTATCAGGAATGAGACCTAATGTAAAAGGAATTACTAATATTTATTGTTGATATTGCTAAAAATTCTGTTTACTTTCTTGTTATTAATCATTCTTAATTATATTTAAAAAAATGTATACCTTATTAAATTATTTCTAATTTTATTTTAATAATGTATATGTTTTAGTAAAGTAAGGACATAGTGCCCTCAGAATGTGGCAGTGCCCCCACGGGGTGGTACATGTCAAGTACCATTAGCATAAGAACACCTGTTATATAACCATATAACTTGCAAATAAAGAATATGAATAGTTACGCGTTTACACGACACTTATAGGTGATAAAAAAATTAATTAATTACCTATAATTATAGATAAAAAATAATAAGATAAAAAATTAATTAAAACTCGTAAGGTTCGGACTCATTTGTTATTAATTGTTATTAATATTTATAAAAAAAAAAAGTACTTGTTCAAAACTTGATATTTCTAACTGACGAGGTACGTAAACATGCCATTTACGTTACACCCTGTTTAAGTGAAAATTGAGTCACTGATACACAGACCATGTTTAAATAGTCAATACATGTTACCAAAATTATATAATTCAGCCATAGCAAACATAACATTTGCCCTGAAATGACCCCTAGTACCCTGTACTATTAGGAGACGTATGCCCAGCATTATACGACATTTGAAAAATTGAGACTCAACAGTTTGCATCAGATTTTTATTAAACAACTGCCAACAAAGTGCAGACACCAATGTAGAATTGTAATAATACATACTATATTACTGTCCGCTGCATAAATATATTTGAAAAAATCTACGTGTAAACGTTTTGCAGGGCTAGGACAACAGGGCGCGACTTGCGTGAGAGCGACATAAAGTACAAGATATTGCTGTTCTCGCATAGAACCTCACGATTTATTTTGGCATAATCTGATCTAGCTAACATATTATCAGCTTGTTTAACACATAGAAGTTCTGCTTTTTCTGAACATAAATACCATTGTAACCTAAATTAATGTCTTTTCAAATAGGTGAAGTACACCTCCAGCCGGGCCACCACGAGTTCCCCTTCCAATGCCAGATTCCGATACATTGCCCATCGTCGTTTAAAAGCGGTAACGGGTACGTCCAATACGAAGTCAAGGCCGTCGTGGATCGCTCTTTCAAGTTTGACCAGGAAAAAGTAGCTGTGCTGACTGTTATTGCTCCAATAGATCTCAACGCGGATCCTTATTGTAAAGTATGTATTCTCAGCTGACAGTTCTTTCAGCAGCACGACAAGGTGCGACTTGTCCGTAAGCGACATAGAAGCGCGAGGTATTGCTATTCTCTTTGGAAAAATAACAGTATCTCGCGCTTTAAGTTTCTCTCGCGCAAATCGCGCCCTGTCGTGCTAGCCCTACTGGGGGCCTACCATAACCATTCCAAAAACAGTCTTATTTCAATGTAAGATTAAAGTAAGCTTATTATAATATTACTCATATTGGTACCATGACAAACCTGTCAATCAAGTAATGTATTAATGTCAAAGTGATTGGAAGAACGAATGATTTCTCAATATTGTCTATTCCTTACTAAAAATAGGAGGAAATAACACTATATGAACTATATAATGCCATCTCTTTCTTTTTTAATGATCTTATCGTAGTATAATGTTTAAGCACTTAATGTTATTTACATTCAGAGAATTTTAACTGTTGAAAAAAGAAAGGTATGTAATAGTAAAATTTATTAAAATGAATGACTGAATGAATGGAATATTCTTTATTGCACATAAAATTACAATTAAAATAAAATACAATAGCTTAAGTATAATAGTAGTGATAAGTTAATGTGCAACGGGCGGCCTTATTGCTATATAGCAATTTCTTCCAGGCAACCTTAGGATAGACATTTCGGATATGCAAAAAGGGGTGCAACCAAAGAATATCATCATAAGTACTCTACATAATAAGTAATAATAAAAATATATACATATTCGTAGATAGTTATACATACATACAAATAATAATAATTTTAATACATACATAACAATAAATACACAATAATATTAAATGCTTATGTACTTTTAAAGGAAAAACAAAAATGAAGTATAAATGTAGGAAATGAATGAAAGGATAGAGGACAGACGAAATTAGGAGTTGAGGAAGTGATCCTTGACACGTTGTTTGAAGGAATCAAGAGAAGGGGATCGTCGAATCGATTCAGGGAGAGAATTCCACAATTTGATCGCGGAAATGGTAAAAGAGTTGGAATAAAAGTTAAGAGGTATGAGAGGGCAAGTTTAGTATTAGAGTATCAGAGGAGCGAAGGGGACGGCAGAGTGTAGAAGAGTGTAAAGTAAAGCGATGTTTAAGATAAGAAAGGCGTAAAGGGATAGAATAGAATTTAATAGAGAAGTTTTCACTTTCACGATATGAAGATCTCTACGCCGATGAATGGGCAGCCATTTAAGTTGTGCGCGAAATTGGGAGACATGGTCAAATTTACAAAGTCCGAAGATGAACCTAACACACATATTTTGGAGCCGTTCCAATTTATTGAGCAGAGTGACTGACAAATCCGGGTAGCAAACATCTGCATAGTCCAGTATCGGGTGGAGAATGCTCTGGGCCAGACTAATTTTAGTTTTAGTCTGCAAAAAGTTTTAAGCCTTCTCAGAGAGAAGAAGAGAGTCTAGATTTAAACGAGAATTAAACCAAATGCTACCTATAGTAATCGATTGCGTTTTGGATGGGTTAACTTTAAGGCCAAAGGACAGACTCCATTGACGAATGGATTCAAGGTCCACATTGGTAGTATTAATGGCACGTGGTAAGTCTTGAATAGGCGACTGGGTGCAAATCTGGAGGTCATCAGCATAAAGATGATAAGAAGAAGTGTGGGATTGTATGATAGAGTTAATAAACAAAGAAAATAACAGAGGAGAAAGGACGCCACCCTGCGGAACTCCGGCGGAAATATCGCACCACGTAGAGAAAGAATTCTCATTACGTACACACTGCCGACGTCCACAGAGGTAACTTCGAAACCAATCAATAACTGCTGGATATTATTAAGAGTACGAGAATCTTCCAATAATAGGTCAAAGTCAACACCATTGAAGGCATTACTGAAGTCAAGAAGTGTCAGCACAGTCAATTGTTGATTTTCCACACCAAACGGATGTCATCAGTGATTTTCGTGAGTGCAGTAGTCGTACTATGACCATTGCGGAAACCAGACTGGAAAGGATCGAAAAGGTTGTTCCTGTTTACGAAATTAGTCAACTGACAGTGAACAAGCTTTTCTAGGACTTTCGACAGGAAAGGAAGAATTGAAATAGGACGATAGTCTGAAGGGGTGCTTGGTTTTTTTTTTTCGGTAGTGAAATGACATAAGCGTCTTTCCAGACAGAGGGGAAAACACAGGTAGAGACAGTTAATTAAGGATTTTAGTAATGACGGGAGTGAGGAGATCGAGGAGAGGAATAATCATTTTACGACTAACGCAATCTCTGCCTACAGCTTTGGAAACGATAGCTAAATCGTTTAAAAAATAAGAACAAAAGATGAATAGTCAGGAGTTGGTAATGATAAAAGATATTGCAGTGTTGTCTTTGACTGAACAGTAAAAAAAAAGCGCAGATGTCTAGGTTATCTAGATTCAGGTCTAAAGAAGAATTATTACTATGAGATTTACCAACTCCAAGCGACTTCAGGAAATTCCAAATTTTAGTGGGGTTGCCATTTTCGATGGATGTGTGGATGTGGCGTCGCTGAGCATCCCTAATCAATGTGTTGCAGCGATTTCTGATTCGGTGATATTTTTTGCAATTCGCATCAGATGGTTCAATTTTGTACCTGGTTTTCGCACGATTCTTTTTCTCCATATAACTTCGAAAGTCACTACTCAGCCACGGTGCAGGAAGGTGCCTGATCCGAACAGGTCGAACTGATGCATGTACATCATAAAGGTGAATCAGTAGCGACGTAAATAACTCGACCTGTTCATCCACCGAACCAACACTATCCACTACTGGCGTGAAGACACGAGTAGAATTGACTAACCCTACTCGCGTCTTCACGCAATCGATCTAAGTCCGTCCAAAATTACGTTGTAGGAGAATTTTAAACTTAGCCTTAGACACGCGCACCCTATAGGACAGGTACACGAGGTCGTGATAGGAAAAGGCATCGGCCGTGAATTGACCGTGCTTGGTGACAAGTTCGGAAAAAGATACTGCTATGAGGTCCAGAAGAGAGGGAGTACAGTTAGGAAAATGATGCGTAGCGGTAGATGGAAAAATATGTAAGTTAGAGGAATTTATAACAGAACGAAGACTGCTCGAACGTGAATCATTTTTAAGAAAGCAATTATTAAAATCACCCATCAAAATGGTATGATCATATGAAGGAGCAAAGTCTTCGAGGAGCTTTTCAAGAGCTTTTTTTAAAAATTACGTTGTTTTCAATTATTTCTCCACTTTTGCATGAGGAAAAATAAAAAAAACAAGCTGAGTCTTAATTGTCATGTTGTAAATTCGGAATTATAGTCTAGTGTCAACTGTTAGTGTCGCCAAGGATCATATAGATGTCGCTGTCATAATTTTTCGAAATAAACATCGTGTATTTTAATTTAACGAGAAATTATTTCCTATGTTGTATACTTAACTTTTAATCATTAGAAATCAATATTAAGACAATAAAACTGAAAATAATATTGTTTCCATTGCATCCGTGTAACTATTTTAAGATTGCTAAATTTGACATATGAACAATGTTACTTTGATGTTAAAGTCGCGTCATAGTACGAACTGAGTGAATGAATAGTCACATTGCTGCCAATAAAACATCATAGTTTTAACATTATAATACTTATAAGCTTACTTTAAGCGCGTCATGGTACGAAAAGTCAACGAACGGTTAAAGTAATATTGTTTTAAGAAGTTGTGGTAGGCCCCTTGGACTACTCCGACATCTGATTTTGGTCGGCGTCATGTTCAAATCCATTTACTTACCACTTATCTCACATCTAATTTGTGTAACTTAACTACATCAGACAGACCGTAATAAAATTGTAAAGACACACATGTTAAAATTAAGCCTAGATTTTATTAATAACTCGTATATTTATGCCTAATGTTTAATGGGGCACAGTGAAATTATTCTTATCTCGTTACTGCCAACTTATATGCGACCTGTGTTTTCACAATATATATAGTTTTTTTGTAATGCGTGAACCGACGTAAGCTTTTACATTAAATAGTGACAAAAAATGTCGGATTGAAATAGTGGCTGAACGCGATGTGTAGGTAGGTAATTTATTACAGTGTCTGTTATAGCCAAAGCTTCGGAGCTATCAATTGTACGGAGATTTAACGAATGCTATGTTAAGTATGCTTCACCTATTTAATGTACAATATTGTGAGATAATTGGGAGTTCGCTATGCAATTAAAAGTTTATCAAAATACTTCACTTGTGAGGTTATACTATTCTATTAAAGCAACGCAGTGACATTTTATAATTAATTAGGGGTTTTTTTACCCTGGCACCACAATCAGAACTTCCTAACAGCACAGTCAGACACATCTCTTGGCACTTTGTAATTTGGACCATCCTTGTCTTACAGGCGTAGACTTGAGTAATCTTTAGTGTCAAGCTTGCCGTGTTCTCGACACTGTACATAACTAATAAATCAAAACTTTACCTTGAATTTAATATTTGAAGTTATGTTTATCGAATTAAAGAGTTTCTCAATAATCATTGTATGTGCCTCAACCTATTAAAGATAATAAACAAATATTTTTTTCGACTCGATTTTGACGAAAAAAAAAACGCCTTAATCTCGCTGGACACTGGCGTCATATTAAGATATAGTATAGAATAAGGCTCAATTTATATTGTGGCGGTTTGGAGTGGAAGCGAATTTTTGTAACATGCCCATAAGTCAATGAACATGCCATAATTAACATTATGATCATTTGTGTAACGTACAAACTCTAAATAAGCCAAGATAAGTAGGTACTAGTAAAATAAAAATGTTACAACCCTAAGCGCCGACGACGTATAGGCACTGAAGTACAGGGTCAAGAGCACGTCAAGCTTGACACTTAAGATTTAAATCCAACTCCATGCCGCTTACGATAAGAACGATCCAAAGTACAAGCACGTTCTATGGCTGCACTTAAACGCCGAGTTCGTATATCGCTTTTAATGATTCATCCCGTCCAGGTTAAAGAGATCCCTTTTGATTTTTCAATCTTAATCACTACCATACCACCAAGAGTAGTGCGCATTAAATATGTATAACCTAAGTACAGAGTACTAAAAAAACCGACCTCAAAAGTCATTCATCCCCTAGTTTACCACCCTTAGAGGTCGAATATTTTCTTTAAATTTAAATGGGACCACTTCTGAAGTACCCTCTTTCCAACAAAAAAATCATCAAAATCGGTTTACAAATGGCGGAGTTATCGCGTAACATACATACAAAAAATACAAAAAAAAGACATAGTCGAATTGAGAACCTCCTCCTTTTTTTGAACTCGGTTAAAAACGATAACTCATTGCCAATAACTGCCTCTGTGGCCGAACGGTTACCATGCCGGACTACCACGCAGAGGTAGCCGGTTCGATTCCCGGGCCGAGAGAATATTTGTATGGCCTACATTTATTTCTATCTCGACTTTGGGAGTAATTTGTGGTTGTCTATGTGTGTGTCCATGGCATCCGCGACATAGGGTTTCAGGGCTAGTACGGGGCTATGTTGAGTGTGTGCGTTATTATTATTGCCAATCGTTCTATACGAGCATCCTGTGGATCAGTTATACTGAAAAATCGCTTAGTACCCTACCAGTCACATACAATAATGGGTTTGGAATGTTGATAGGGGGCAACCCTACGCTTTTGCAGTACGTCTACCATGTTTGCAGCTGCGCGGGTTGATGGTTTCAATGCCATTATCCGCAAAAAGTCAGCCTCATTGCTCAGCAGACAGCGGCAGCACCAACACCATTTTACAGGTCATACCTGATAGATATGACCTATCCATTATGAAATCTTTCATTCGGGTTCTGATTGAATAGTCTCACAAGAGAATATTGGGTCTGGATGCGGATGAGAGATCTGAGAGTCGGCTGCCACTTTTTATAATTTAGTTTATGTGCAATTGTTTATTATTATTATCACTAACATAGTCTTTAAGATATATTTCGAAGCCATACTTTCTCAAACTCATATCTTATAAAGAATGATTATTCAGGAAAACTTTCTAATTAATTTCATTTTCTTATCAAGAGTGTTAATTTGGATGCATTACTTTAAGAATAGGTAAAAGGAAGTGTGTAAATATGAAGGAAAATCAGCCTGCAAAATTTGTATACACAATTCATTTTTTGCATTACAGTAACTTTGTGCTTTAAGATACGAGTTTGAGAAAGTAACGATTACGATTTGTAAGTTACTAACACTATTGGAACTTAAAAAGATTGTTGTCTGAATAAATAATTATATTATTATTATTATATTATTTCCCTGAGTAAATCGCTCTGATTTCAGGAACCAACGGTATTTAATTTTATAGAGGCCTATTGTTGCTGTTGCGTACCGTCTGGCAATTGCGAGATAGTGGTCCGTATGAATCAATCGGGTTACTGTCCGGGACAAACCATGCATATTGAGCTGGACTGTGCTAATCGAAGCAGCGTCGAAATCGATGAAATCGTTTTCGAGGTTAAAAAGGTAAGAACTCTATTTTAAAATTTATTTATTTATTTATTTGCATATCATATTATAGTCAACACAAACTTAGAACTATGGTAGGAACTACATGTGATACCCTGTACTACATGTGATACTTATTATATAATATACATTTTTACCATGGTATTGATTTCGGAATCTTAACTCACACTGGCGCGGAGTAGATATGAGCGCCGATAATAGACCCACCGGCGTCGGCGCGCCGACGAAAAAGTGTCGGCGGCGACTGCGTTTCGGCGGCGCGAGCACGACCCTAAAACGAATTTGTATAACGGTGTTTGTTTTCACAAAAGCCGTTATACGAATACTTTTTTAAAGGAAATAATAAAATAACGTATTTCCTATAGTAATCAAATTTATACGCGCTCGCTTCCTTATTGTGTATGCGTAGAGAAAATGGCGACGCCAGAAATTAACAAATTAATTTTTTAAAGAAATCAGCTTCTTTAAATATAAAGTCGCTAACTAACTTTTGTCGCCCATCTATGCCACCTCTGCTGAGACCGGACGGCACGCTGGCCTATATTGCAGAAGACTTTTTGCCTCACTCTTTGCAAAGAGTTCGCAAACCTGGCTGCACTATGGCGCCAATTCGCATACGCCAAAAAGAGGCACTTAGAACTCTACGGAATCTAGACGTGAATAAAGCTAGCGGACAGATGGAATTCCAGCACTAGTACTACGTAACTGTGCGCCTGAGTTGTCTCCTATTCTCACACGCCTACGCCTGTACCGCCTCTCACTTGAGACTGGTGTAGTTCCCAGGTCGTGGAAGCTTGCAAACGTGCAACCTGTGCCGAAAATGGGAAGCAGAGCTGACTCTGTCAACTATAGACCTATCTCAGTCACTTCCATACTCTGCAAGATTATGGAACGTGTACTCAACAACCGTCTCCTGTCGTACCTTGAAGGCAACGACCTCCTCAGTGATCGCCAGTACGAATTCTGACGAGGACGATCAACTGGGGATCTTCTTGTATATACCTGTCACATTTGCAGCAACATTCGCAAAATTCTTTGGATGTTTCTAAAGCCTTTGACAGGGTCTGGCACGCAAGTCGTAACTAAGCTTTTAAGTAAGTTTTAAGCTTCCCTCTTATGGGCTTCCCACTGACCTTTGCAATTGGATATCGGATTTCTTGAGCGAACGTTCGATTCGAGTGGTCTGACAAGGCTACTCTTCCAAACATATGGTGTTAGATTCCTCAGGGTTCCGCACTGTCTGCAACTCTCTTTCTGCTGCATATCAATGATATGTTAATTCCAAGTACCTTTGGGTATGCTGATGGCAACACAGTTGTGACAGCCTCCGTGGCCGAACGTTTACCATGCTTGACTGCCACGCAGAGATCCCAAGTTCGATTCCTGGGCCGGGAGAAATATTTGTATGACCTACATTTATTTCTGTCGTGAGTTTGGGTGTAATTTGTGGTCCATGGCACCCGCGACACAGGGTTTCCCTAGTGCGGGGCTATATTGAATGTGTGCGTTATTATTATTATAGATAGGTACTTGACCAATGCAATGGTCAGTGGAGAGGAAATCCAGTATTGTCGAGAGTCCATGGTTAGCCGTTTGGATTTGACACTCAAGGCAGTCTCCGATTGGGGCGATGCCAATCTTGTCAAATTTAACGCTACCAAAACGCAGGCGTGTCTATTCTCCACAAAACGGAGTCCTTTTGAGCTGACTCCACTTTTCGTGATATATCCATACCGATAGCCGACTGTCTCCAGCTACTTGGAATGGACCTGTCGTCCAATTTGAACTTCAGCAGATACATTGAATCCATGGCCAGACATGCAGCAAGGAAGCTTGGGATCCTTTCCGTGGTGAGTTGCTTCAGCTGTACCAAGCACAAGTCCGGTCGTGCATGGAGTACTGCTGCCACCTTTAGGATGGCTCTGCTACATACCAACTGGCCACCTTGGATTCAATTGACAACCGTGCCAAGAAGGGTATATAGGTGACTCGGAATTAGTGGAGGCGAAGCTGCAGGGCCTAAAACACCGCCGTAAAGTTGCCAGCTTGTTGGTATTTTACAGGATATAATCACGGAGATGGAATTACACGATTTAATTCCGCGTTACCCTTTCCATCACCGGGGGACTAGGCGTAGGCTTGGGTTCCACCTCTATGTTTTGGATATTCCAAAGATTCGCACGAAGCGTTACGCTTCCACATTTATATGGCGAACGGCTATGGAGTGGAATTCCCTGCCTGCAGACGTGTTCCCTGAAGGTTATTTAGGTATGCATGCTCCATCGTCGACCTCATCGTCATCTTTTTTATTATATTTTTATTTTATATTTCTATTTCCATCAAGTGAGATAGAGGTCAAATGCGAACTTACATTTTATTAAAAAAAAGTTTTATCTTAGAAAAGTCATTTTCTGGCGTCGCCATTTTCAGCGTGCGTGTGCGTACTATCAGAGCGCCTGATCAAACAGAACGGCGCGCCGGCGCGGCGCTCATATCTAGCGCAGAGCAGAAGAGTCGCGAAGCGTCAGAATGATGAGATGAATATGCTATAGACGAAAAATATCCGGCTCTGCGAATTTTATTCATTTTTATGGATAACTCACGCTTGACCAAAACATTGACTGCGCCAAAATTGTTTTCACAAAAAAGACTTAATGGTTCCTAAGACAATTTCTTTGTATCTCTATGGTTTGGGATATGCCTATACAGTCCCATTTAAAAAAACACTATAGGTTATATTAGTAGTAGGTAGTTATATTATAATATCATATAGTCTTAGAGGATGGAAAAAAATAAAAGAAGTTATAGTCGTCAACCATTGAAAATCGTATTATTTTTCCTGATCTAAATCGTGTACTTATATTTGTTTTTTCATGTACCAGTTACAGCAGCGTATTTCTTGAAAATTCAACAGCAAGTACTTACCCTGCTGCTGTAGTACAAATCGGTGGTATCTGAATCACAAGCTAGTGGTATTTTCAATGGTAATCTCAAGCAGGTGATAAGTGTAGCTGTGGTGTAATAATATTTAGTGCTATTACTAACCTGTAAAATCCACTATACAAAATTATCGTTTGTGCAGACTATAGAATTCCGCGCTACGCATGAACCGGACACTCGCAGCGATAAAGACGTTATAGCAGAACTAAAGAAAGGTCCGATCCCTGCTAACACCACGCGCAACTGGGCGTTAGAAATGGAGATACCGCATATGGAAGTATATAATTTGAATGCATGTTCTTATATTGACATTGATTATAAATTTAAGGTAAGTTTCGTTTTCATTACCTTCATAACTACGATTACTTTAGCAGTTTTTGTCCTAAAATCAAACTAAAATTATCATCCAATCATACCCTGCTGCTGGCCTTGAGTAATTCGAGTAGAGCAGTATTTAAATCTCTACTCTGTTTTGATTAAAATATTCGTTTTTTTCCAGGCGACAATCACCCCGTCAGGCTGTCATTCAGATTCCTCGGCTTCAAGACGTCTGATAATAGGAACTATTCCGTTGCGAGAATTTGAACCTGATGTACCACTCGCGGAATACCCTAATGCTCGACCTCTTGAAACCAATCAAGCATACCCACCATCAAACCAGACGTATCCGTCGCCAAACCAACAGTACCCAGCCGTAAACCCATATCCACCTGCTGGCAGCCCTTACCCAGGTGGAAACCAACCTTACCCAGGCGGAAACCCACCTTACCCAGGCGGAAACCCACCTTACCCAGGCGGGAACCCACCTTACCCAGGCGGGAACCCACATTACCCAGGCGGAAACCCACCTTTTCCAGGCGGAAACCCACCTTACCCAGGCGGAAACCCACCTTATCCAGGCGGTAACCAACCTTACCCAGGTGCTAACCTTCCACCTTATCCCAATGTGGCACCGACGCTAGGTTTCCCAGCGGGAGGTGACGAAAAAGGCAGTGTTACAATGCCATTGCTTCCTCCTACAGCCGCTGTCCCTTATGTAAGTTAATATGATTTCCTTTAATTAATTAAATTTTATGCATAATTCTTGCCATAATTTGATATATTACAGCTAGTAATCTCAGTTGTGACAATAAACAGCTTTAGTCAAACTGTTTAAGTTCCGTTTAAACTAATAGAGTGAAAGATTGTAATTTAAAGTTTCTTACAAAAATATTTTTTGTAACAGCCACCAATGCCGTCTCCTTATGCAGCTGCCAGCGCTCCTGAACCCAGCACTCCCGACGTCGCTGAAGGTAAGTGTTACGTACTACAAATTTAAAATGAGTCCTTTTCTCAAACATGCTCGGAAATGTTTGCATTACTTTTAAAATAAGAATCTTAATAAGAACCACAAAGTTTGTCATTTATGAAACATGCAACTCCTTGTTACTAGTATAGAAAACACTAGTAGGTATGTAATTTTTGTTTATTAGCTCCGCATTAGGAATCCCTGTGTCGCGGATGCCATGTACATACACATAGACAACCACAAATAACATTTTTGTCCGCAGCTCTAACATATCTATTAACAAAGAGCTATGTAAAGAAACACTGTCATACACCCAACTGCTCATATCCTCATGGATACCCTCCGCCCGGAGAAATCGAGGGGTTATGTCAGACTCCTACCGATTAAAACCTGACGGTATTCCCTCCTCACCATATATCGGAGTCACAGGGACGCTTTCGCATTCTTCCACGACTCCGACGGTGAGCAGTTCGACAATGTGTCAAACTCCATCCGGAACATCCGGAGGGATGTTACCTCCCCGTTAACCGTCTTGAGAGGCGGACGTGGAACACGGACGCCGCCATCTCGGGTCCACCGGTAACGGGCGACAGTCTCCCCCCTAAGAATGCCGTACTTTTTTTTCTAAGCTAACCTAACCTAAGATATTATTATATACAACTCTTGGGTAACTGAGAGCTTTGATTGAGAGTCCACGATAATGGAAACTTTGAATCTGGCCCTCGTATCGTCGCAAATTGTAGCGAGGCTAATAGATCGAATTTTTCCATCTAACCTCGGCTTTCCAATGTAAACCCGTACCGGTTACTGACTACCTTGAGTTTCTTTGTGTGGATATTGCATCCAACTTGATAAGAGTCCTTGGCTGCAACTACAGCAAAGAAACTCTGTATTCTTCCCAAGATCACACAGTATTTTTTACGGGCCGGGTGAATGAGAACTGGGTTGTTCTATAAATATATGGCATCGATGCTTTGTCATTCAGACTCAACATTCCACACTTTTTATCTGTAAGTTTGTGGTGTAACCGGTAAAACTCTTGCGGTTACTTCTGATGTTCTTAGGGTCTTGAATCTGGGGCCTTACTCTCAAACTCTCTCTCAAACGTCAAACGGCCCGTTCAAAACTGTCAAATCGCGTTATCATACATTCTTAGTGCTTCGAGAGTAGGGCCCCTGAACCAGCCCTTATGAGTTCATGAGCGCATACGCAAAGATCTGTCGCGTAAGCGCAGGTAGGATTGTTCACGAGTTGCTCGCTTGCACCGGCCGCTTGCTTTGCGTTGGATTTCATTTCGTTGCGTGAGTTTGGTATCTAGCAAGCTTGATATTTCCACGCAAGCAACAAGGAACGTTTGTGGAGGACAGTACCACTGGCCAATCACAGAGCAGCAGCCGTTTCGAGTGTCGACAACCCAAACAAAGGCAAGGCGCCGCCCGCGCATGCGCGCAAGTCTCCGCAGCGCAAAGCGCAAGACTCGAGAACGCACGTGCGCGGTAGGCAGATTTCTACGCTGTGTACCCAGCCAACGCAAGCAAGCGAAAAACACAAGTGAAAGTGAAATTTGTATGCGAGTTACTCTACAACATAGTTTTCTAAAATGGTCCCTACCCCAGGGGGCGCTGAAGAGTCCTAGGGTAGGGGCCGGGCTCGGAAGCAATAGATGCGGTCCAGGGGGCCGCATTTGAAAAAAAACCTGAACTATCTATACATATAATATACACTACATATATACACTACATATTTTTTCCTTGTGACTTTTTGTGTTAATGTAAAAAAATGTTTTCAATTACTTTTTATCTTGCCTAAGGGCGATGCCACACGGCCGGTGCGTTGCGTCGTCGCAACGCTATTATTTCAACGGACTGAGTGCCACACGCGCTGTTCGTCAACGCACGCTGTTTCAGTGCACCGTATGGCATGTCGTTCTGATTTATACGTAGTACAACGCAGTTGCGACGATGCAACCCCCGTGAGGCATCTCCCTGAGTGGGCGGCATGCCCAAAAGTTTGGGAACCTATGCTCTACATTATACTTTAGCTATAGTGAATAGGCACCACACACACAAATACATACACAAGCAAGTTGGAAAGCATTTTCCGTCTTGGGCTACTTATCATCACCCTTATCATCATGTGACTTGCTTATAATCAACAAAAAACGCCCTTATCTACGACTACTTACTTACTTTCGTAATAGAAATATATTATTACTTTATCTGTTTTCATTAATATAGGTATTATATGTTATAGAGCGCCTTGTTTATTATCAAGAATACAAGAAAACAATGCAGTGCAATATTATGTGAACTATTTCTTCTTTCGTGTAGTAATTGATTGACATATAAAGTAAATGGAAATGTTATACATTCTACATTTACAAAATCTTCATTTCAGATAAAAAGCTGATGCCAGCCCCGCCGGCGAATAACCCCGTTAAAAGTGATAAACAATGAGTTACCACCTTTTTAATTTCATTCACTATTAAAATGTAGTTGAAAATTTAAACAAGCCAAAACATTGCTTCAAAATTTGTTATTGGTGACTTTGATTTTTCTACTACATTTCACATAATATGTGATTAATGGATATTATTCATTTGTATTGCTTTTGCATTGCAAATAAGTAATTCCACCGCAAGTAAGTGTCTAATATTATCGCACACTTTTGCTCTATTTCGAAGAATTTTAATAATGTTGTCGATTCGGATACGCAGAAAAACTAGGTAACTTATTTTTTTAAACTTTTTGTGCAGTAAGTACAGTTAATAAAGTTAAGGTAAACGCTCGCTTGCTAGCAATGCGCTTGTTCAAATAATTAGTGATGCGCCACATCTATCGACACGGAATTGCATAAAGTCCACTCCTGCCATTTGGCTCCCATGCCTATAGGTAATCCTATGGGACTCATGAGTAATGTTTTCGCCGCTATGCTCCCATGGGATCATAGGAAATATATTTTTATGTCTTTTGACTCTCATGAGAACCACGGTCAACCGTGGTTACTATATAGTGGTGTTAATAGTTCAAACCATTTTTCTTCTTCGCTCCCAAGCCACTGCTAAATGGCATCCAGGGATACTTTTAAAGTCGATCAGCTTTATGTCCCATGTAATAAGAGCAAAAAAGACATTGTGAATTACCGATCGCGTCCGTACGCAGCCGACGAACGGCTGATCGGTTGGCGTCGACATCCGGACAGCCACATGGATGTCCGAATGACAGCGAATACGCCCGAATGGCCACGTCGACGCCCGAACGACCGCGTCGACGGCGAAATGGTAACACATGATCGCTTCAAGCCGATGCCGCGTCGATAAGTGTGGTGTATCCCTATGCTATGTAGTGCTTGGCTTGCATTAATATGACAAACGTAATATTTTCGGTCACATCGTCGGATGAGATTGTGGCCAAATATTCGTCTAGTAAAATAAAAATTAAAAATACTCGCTTGAAACGTGCAATGCTAGTAGATGAACGATCATCATTATAAATTACAATTAAGCGAACTTAAAAAAGGTGCAATCTTTTAGTTGTATATATAATTACGTACGTGCCTTTAGAGAGGTGTTAACACTAAGTGCTACTTATAATATAATCTGGAAGAAATAAGCATTACAACTACCTCGATTGTGCCAGATATTGTTCAATAGTCATATTTGTAAGAAAGAATTATCTCATAGTTATTAAGAAAGCTGCACTAAAGAGCAGTGGTAGCTTAGTACGGAAACGATAGCTTCTCATATGAGAGATCAACCATTCGCATCCCTATGGTTATAAATAATAACGAATTTAGTTCCCAAGACACGTACCCACATACTTTGTTAGTGCGGCCTAGAAGACGGTACCTTGGAACACATTTTTTTCAATTGTCCTAATATTGCTGTTCCACTTTATAACTTACTTTCTCCAAAATTCCCCCGCCCCGTTAACATAAACAACCTCTTAACTTTAGTGTTCTCCCCCCATATTGTTACTCTATGTAAATTTATCCACTTAAATAACATATATTTATAAATATTGTTTTGCTGTTTTGTTTTACATTCTCAACTGAGTACTCCCGTAGTCCAACTTACCAACACCGGTTAATGTCCTATTAGAGCTTAGCGAAAATTTTTTTTTTTGTTTCGTTTTTTTTTCTTTCAACTGTGACATTGGCAAAATCATCAGTTCTCATATTGATGGAGCCATAAAAATAAAAAGTGAAGTGAATGTTTAGTACCTAACACTACTACCTCTTGAAGCTTAAAAACTTGAAGAAACTAAGTACAAAAGTAGGTACGAAAGCTACACTATACTGCCGTCCGCAAACTATAATAACGTAGCTATGTGACAAAATCATTTTTTAAGATATCGTAAAAGAACAATAGTCCAGTTGTAGAATGTTGAAATTGTTTTGGTGATATTTTAGCTATACACCATTAGGTAATTTCCAATATGTCGGACACGTTAATTAACTTTAAATTTGTTTTTAAATAGAATATTTTGGGCTCTATCTTATGCTATTTAGAACGGATGTTTGAACACTTGTCGCCAGTGTTAACGATATGTAATTTTCGACTTAAGGGCCCTGACAACACTGCTCGTCACTTTAAAAATATAATATTTTTTCCATGAGACGTAACTTCATCGTGACAATTGTGAAAAATAAAATATATTGATAATATTTGTTAGTGTAATTAATTCCAAAAGCGATTTTTCTATTACTTGTGAATTTTAATATGTAGTTTTGAACGGTAACGTGAATATGTAAAATATTTAAAGATGTATTAGTGTTTTGTCGTGTTAAAAAAACAAAAAATAAATGTAGGACGCTGCTACAAATTTTCGTCGTCCGAATTTTGCCGATCTGTCATTCTAATCAAGTTAGCTTGGGCTGATTAAAGCCGTGTTTTAGTTAGTGGACGACTGCGGCAGTATCGGAACTAATCGCCTTTTTTTCGCTTCATGTTAATTGTTATTTAATATAAATAGATATAAAAATAAAGAGATATATGAATACCTTTTACACTCAGATCTTACTTATATAAAAAGTATACGTTACCATAATTTTGAGAAGAGACATTATAGTATAAAGAAACTAATCAGAAACTGATTTTTTACAAGTGCTGTAAGTACTCTCGACTAATTATTTAATAAAATGAAATAAAAATGTGATTCCCACTAGGATATGTACTTTTGATTTTGGTTTAATAAAAGCCTTAAATTCCGATTTTTTATATGCGTAATGACCTCAATATACTATTATGAAATAAGATATAAGTATAAAGTATGTTATGTGTTTAGAATAATATGGTATAATTGTTAAAGATGAGAAATCTTTTATAGTTGTAAGTGCACGCACATCACAGTGATCTTGTTAGATAAGATATATTTTTGGATTTTTACTGTTTTATCTCCATACTTAAGTGTTAAATGTAATCTATCTAAGATTATTATTTTCTATCAGATACCTAGAGGGTCTTTTCTGAGAACGCGGTATAGTGGCATTTGCAAAGTTGCCAGTTTTCACAAAATTTTAAACGGTCATGTAGTAGACAGTTTTTATCAATAAATTGTGAAAGAAGGTAAAATTATGACAAAAACTCTGAATCGTGCAAATGCTATTACAATGTTATACCTTTTCGTGTTATAGCAATGTTATACCTTTTTAATTCTTATTTTGACAGTTGGCCTACGAGTATCGAAACTAATTTTATATTCGTATACATTTTAACAAGAACTGGTACAAGTGATTGAATGAAAAAGAAAAACTTTAAAATATGTCTTCGTCTTCGATTTTTTAAATTTATTTCATGACTCTGGATTCAAACTACAATGCATTTTTGCTATATTATCAGTTATCATCATAATGCTGATGTTGATTGTTAGGCTAGAGTTGATGTATACGGTGTTGCCAAATGTTCGTCTTTAGAATGTATTCAGTGAATACACGCATTTATTAACCATGTTGAAATATTTATTATGTGCCTTACTTATTAACTGAAACAAAATTTACGTAAAATATACTGGTTTTTGCAAAATATATTATTAAGTTCCGTCCGCACTGCGTACGCACTGTATTTTCTAATATTCTATAGCAGTAAAGTTACTAGCGGTGCATAACGTCACAGTGGTGATATTTTATTATTGGACTATGTATACATGCGAGACCCTTTAGGGTTGGGTCCCCGTATGCCAGCACGCATCAGCGCTGCACCCTACTAGCCATGCTTCAGTGTCGAGTGTTTTGACGAAACCCCATGGGAAATATTCGCTTATTATGGAAACTGTGCTGAGGCGTGTTGACAAATAGGGTCATGGGATCCAACCCTTAACGTACTTATTGTAAGAATTAACTAAAAAAAATAGTTAAAAATGTTCAAGTGGTGTAAATTGATGGAAACATTTTTCAGAAAAATCCTTTAAAAACAGAAAGTATTGGAAAAATATTAATTATTTTTTTCTGAAAAATACATTTGTCACAGAAATGGAAATTATTTCATGATACAACACTACAAAGAACCAAGATAATAAACAAACGTAACTTCCTGGAAATAATTAAATTATTAAACATTGTGCCTTTAGTTCGAAATGACAGAGATGTATTTTTAAACTTAAGAAGTTAAATGAATTGTTTTTGATAATAGACTACAAATAGAATTAAATTCCTCCAACTGAAAATTCCTCCAAAAAATATATATTTTATATTAAAATGTATTTTTTTTAATTGTAATTACTTTTTTATGTATCATTTTAAGTCTATTGTATGTTTTGTAAATCTTCGTTAATATTTTGTCAAATTTAAAATAAAGACCTAGTTACTGTACCTACTTATTTTTTCTTTAATTCCTTTTACTTACTAAGTAGGTTACTTATTATCGATATGAAGACGGTAAAATGAAACAAATTATTATTATAAAAATTCTTCATTATAAAAATAATTTCAATGTTGACTTACAGGGCAGGTTGTCAAACAGAGCAGCGCAAAAACGTAAGCTTTAAAGTCGAGTTAATGTATGTATACAGACTGTCAAGTTTAATACGGGGAACACACTGCCTGCCTGTGACACTAGAAGAAGCCTTACGCCAATTTTCTTTCTTTCATGAATGTGCCGCGATGACGGATATTGGCAGTTTCCTAATTTTTTCCATCCTCGAAGGTTTCATATTAGATGCGAATCTTATGATAGTATGGCATATTGATATAAGACTAACAATACAGATAACACACTTATTATTAATGTAACAGACGGCTGTCAATACCGTACCCATAGATTTAGTATATAGGTATCAACATACTAAATCTATGACTACCTACTACAAAATTTGTGTTGTCTAATAATTGCAATTGCACTCTGACAAAAGTCATGCGATTGGCGAGTTATCCTGGCGGTTTTCACGTAATTTTAAAGCCATGTGAATCTTCATTTTGAACTTCGAACTGTACTCTTAGGATCATTTTCCGCGGCATGGAATGGAAGGGAATTTTGTATAGTTGGGGAAATATTATTTGCGCCGATTCGTGTCATCGCTTCATCTTTAGAATACAATAGGACAAAAGAATGAGCCGTCTCGGTAACGCACGTGCCATCTGTATAGTGCAAACAACTAGTTTAAATACTTTTATGCATGGGCACTTAATTCTGAAGTAAGTGCCAAATACCGAGACTCTTTTCTTAGTAAGTAATTGAACAAGTTATTTAAGCATCTTTATGCGTAA